CCCGCTCGGTGCCCGAGTCCCTCCCCGTGTGCAGGTGAGCGCGGTGCCGCCGCCCCGGGCCTCGGTGGGTTCCTCCCTCGGTGCAGCTGCAGGTCTCACAGCCTCACGTACTGCCCTTTGCACACGGGGGGTTGTGCGGGCGCTGTTATCCCAGTTTAAGTGCTGATGTGGCTCAGTAAAGTCAGGCTCGTTTAGGTGGAGTTTTTGTTTCTCACGGAGTGCGCTGCTGAGGCGCCCAGGTGTCGTGTCCCTGCGTCGTGCAGCAGCGAACCTGGCTCAGCTGAACAATGTACGGTGGGCTTTCTCGGGGGGGTGGCTCTTTGAAACATGATTTAGGAGACGCTTTGCCCTCTCCAAACCGGTCACTAAAGGTTCACTGATCTCCAGGACTGTGTTAAGAGGCCCCTGCTTAGCAATGAAATGAATGTTTCTAAACCAAGTAAGATTTTTTTTCACGAGCCAGTCTTCTGTTCCTTGTGTTTTTAGCACTTTGCTAGAACTTCATCTCTTTCCTGGTGTTCTTGAGCTGATTTTATAAGGACAGTTGGGCACCATGCCTTATTCATTATCCTTAGGATTTGTGTCTCCTTAGAGAAAAAGTACTTCGCTTTGTTTTCCTGAATTTCCGGGCTTTTTGGGCCACTAGAGGGAGGTGTGCGCAAAGCGTCTGTTGGTCTCGCTGTTAAACTGAAGCGTGGCCAGGAAAAAGAAGTACAGGTTTAAGAACAGTTAAAGAGTGCATTTACTGCAGGTAAAAAATAATTTATGTCATTTATAGAGCCACTGTTAATAAGCGAGGAGGTAAAATCGGAAGGAATCAGGATTTCATTTATGAATTTAAAAATAACTAGTTTGCCAGTGTAGTTGCAGTTTGACCCCGGCATGAGGCCCTGGTTACTCCTGCATGGTGCTGCCAGTGAGCCTGTAGATGAGAAATCATGGCCAAAGCTGATTGATACAGCCAGAAAGAGCTGCTAGGAAAACCAGCACTGGCCCCGTGGCCCTCACACATCACACTCATTTCAGGTACACGTGCACCACATCATTGTTAGGCTGTGTTTTGTGAGTAGCCACATATTTATGTGTTAGAAGGTTTTTAGATGGCCATTAGGGTTTTCTTTAAAGAGCTGGGGTGAAGAGCCTGCTAATCTAATCTACATGTCGCGTACGTGGCCAGATTAATTTTATGTATTACAGTGGGTGAGGACTGATTGACTTGTCAAGTGAAAAGACACACACACGTATGTTTGGTCACATCCATCCACGTATGTCCATCTGTCTATCATTTTATTGTCACTAAGTGGAGACAGCATCCAGGCTCCTCACTGCTCCCATTTAGTGCAGGTTTGTGTTTGGCGGCAGCTTCTTCTTTCCACCTTACTGTGCTCCCTGCAGACAGGTCATCAGTTGCAGCACTGGACAGGGAAATGGGTGTAGAGAAAAGCTAAGAACAGCAAAAGCAAGACCAGTGACAAGGGGCTTGCTCTGCTTCCTCTTCTGCTGAAGTACAAAATGTGTTGGCTTTTGTTTCCACAGTCTGAAATGTTGTGTGTGTGTGTGTGTGTCTGGGCATCAACCGTGGCCCTTAGGGTCCCTGGCCAGGTGTACAGGGAGTGGAAAGGGCTATGTAATACTTTTCTACGAAATCAATAAGACAATATTTCGATCACAAATGTAACTTCTGTGATAGTGAGCACATCTGTTTAAATTTGCACTGGTTTAGTTTGTTCCAACTGGCATGAGTTGGCTGGGAGCTCTGCTATACGCCGGCAGCAGGTGAAAAAGGAGCAGGACAGCAGTCATGCAAATCACTGTAAAATCTGGTTGCCTTTTTTTCATGTTTTACTAAGAGATATCAAAACTGCCTGTCCACAGCACGGTGTTCATAGAAGCACAGTCTAATGGCTCTCTTAGCAGTCTTATCTCACAAACATAAAAATGATCCGGAAACTTGAGACAGCAGCATTGAAAATCTGAACCAGTGGCTCTTGTAGCATTTTCAGCAATTGGAGATGAAATCTCCTGGAATATTGTTGTTTGAATAATTTTATATTAGTAACCAGAGAATGAGGAGCATGTGCAAATCCTCTCTCCATCAGAGACACTATTTTTTTAATTGTTCACCCATTATTGTATCAAATAGCCTGTCTAGGTATTGTATCCAAGGCCTGCCTCCATTTTCTTCAGTCCATGTCTGTGGAAGTTGTCCTCTTAGATGTGAAAGAAGCATGCCTTGGGAAGGTGGTAGTCTGGGAGAGCTGGCACAAGAAATTAGAGTAGTTAAATGTCAGACAGGGCCTGTGATGTTAGTTCAGGGAGAGAAAAAGGCAAACAGGCAAGAAGGATGCGGCACTAAGAAATGATGAGTGAATACCAAGAGTAAAAAGTCTCCCTACAAACCCTGGGATCACAGCTGTGCTGCAACTCCTTCAGAAAATTGAGAGGGTGCAGGTATATTTTTGGGGCCCCAAAAAAGACTGCAGTAATTTGGGAAAAGGAATATTAAGATATCTCTGTAGTCTGGTATTTGATACAGACACAACCATGAAGCTGAACATGTCACAGCATCGAGTTCTTTATGAAGCTTGACAAATGACTTTGGTTTTGTCCTGGCTGATTTTCTTAGTGCTCAAGCCCCAGAAAGGGAAGATTTGTCTACTGAAGATGTATCAGAGGCTTTAGTTGTACATACATTTGACTGATGGTGTCTTTGTTCACTCTTTTTTTGCCTTTGTGGTTTGGATAGTTAATACTACTTGCCAGAGTGTCAAGATGTCATTTTCATGGTGGGTATATTTTTATGTTAGCCTGGGGAGAGAAAGGAAAAATTAAAGCCTGTTTCTGTTTCAGTTCTTTTGTATCTTCAGTATTCTGAGGACTTCTGCACAGGGGTTTACTTTCGTTTATTCACCATAAGCTGAACAGATTAATGATCCTTTTTTTTGTTGGCTTTCTTGTCTGTTACATTATTACATATATTATATTTAATCTTAAATCTTAATTTTTTTATTTTATTTTAATTGTTGTAAGAAAGGCTGCATCACTGTCTGTCAGCCTGCTCAGCTGGCCGTCACTCATTTCCATCAGGTTATGTTGCTTGTGGCTCTAATTTTTTCAGGATATTTAATGAGGACTAATGACGTATGTTGCCGGATCAACTTGCATATTTAAAGGTTTATATTTAGGCAAGTGCATAAGTGGCCGAATGAACTGAAGCCTTTAAAGGTTAGCCTGCAGTCAGCTATTTTATTTAATTACTTTATATTGCAAAGAAACACTGCTATTTACTGTATACCAACATGAAAATTGGTCCCTCAGGGCTGCTCACCATCAAAATGAAAATCTGGAAAATGTGGCTCAAGTGAAGTAGGATTATTAGATATGTGCTCCCATGATAGCACAGGAGTTTCCCCAGCTGTTAGTTTTGATGGCAGCCTGTTATGGAAAAGTTTTTTTCACAGGACAACGTGATTTTTGATTTTTCAGAAACATACAGGGAGCAACTGTATCACTTTAAAAGTATATTGCACAGAGCTACACTTCAGCCAGTATCTTAATATCACTGGCATACATTTGGATGCAGGAGGCTCTTTCATCTACAGTATTGGTTGTAATTTGAATAAAGCTGCTGTGATTCACAGAATAAAGGAGAAACAACAGTTTTAAACTTTCAGCAGAAGCAAACATAGAAATATGAACATGCTAAGCAGCAAGGGAGGGAACTCCATATTTCTCATCCCTTCAGTCTTACTCATTCCTGTCCATTGAGAAAAATAGAAATCCGTGATTTCTACAGAGGAATGTCAGAGTGCCAGCAGTCTAGACACACAGTTATTTGCTGAATATCAGCAAAACGATCAATAGCTTTTAAGCCCAAAGTCATTTGCATAACTAGCTCTTGTTTAGGCATCTATTTAACCCTGTTTTGTTGGAGCTAGACACCTGAATACATTTTCATCATTTTCCCCTAACTCTTGAAATTAGTAATTTATCTTTGTTTTCTTTACTGGTTTGGGTTTGAGAAGGTGTTCTGCCTTGTAGGAGAGAGGTCCACCTCCAAATATATACATGTAACTATCTCCATATTTGGTGATATGGATTTAGCTAGGTAGTCTTTTGAACATATGGACCTTTTTAGACTTGAAAAATATAGATATAATTATTTTTAATGTGGGTGTTTTAATGTGGGTATAGTTGGTGTCCATGAGGTGCATACGTTTTATTGATAATTCTGTTGGTGCCCCTGTAGCCAAATGACCATCAGTATAACTGAGAGGAAACTCTGGGTCAGAAAGCAGAGCTGCAAAGCTGGAATGAGAGCTTAGACAGATACTTTGATAAAAGCATAAGCAGAAAACTTACAGACAACATTTTCATTTAAAAAAAAATATAGGTAGCCCCCCGATATCAGCTTGTGACAACGTGTGCACAAAATGGACTAAAATTAACTGACATCATTAATCAACTTATTTTTCTCCTTGTCTAGGGAGCTCTTGGATCCATCTGAGTTCCCAGGAGAATGTCTAGGTGAACAAAATATATATTCATTACCCTTCTTTACTGATAAATTTAGTATTGTAATATACCTGGTATTTTCTCATTAGGAACCCAATTTTCTTCTATAATAATTTGTACTGAGTGAGTCAAAAATCAAGCAGCAGCAATATGCTGTGCAGTAGATGAATGCACATTTGTACCCTCGTGGAAGACTGGGCTTGGTAGGGCTTCTGTACTGTAGGCAGCACACTTCTGTGCATGACATGTCTTCAGGCATCTTTGCAGGCAAAAGAAACGGCTATTTAAGGTCTTTAATCTTTTAATTAAGCCTTAAGCTGAAAGTAAACTGTAAAAGGCATTACAGCAGAGAAATGAACATTAATTATTTTGTCAGATTAGATTCTGACAAAGCTTATTAGGAAAGTAATTCTGCATATAAATATTAGCTGTAATTCTTTCTGCATGTTATCTGCTGCTTTTTTTGATATTTCCAGAGCAAAATGGCATCAGGTCTGGTCAGGTGTGCGTTAGTCTTGTCAGAGTGACAGTTTCATGAAGTCTAAAAGTCTGTCTAGTCATTTTTTGTTAGGACAGCAAATGATTGTGGGTGCAAGGTGTCAGGGGTAAAATCAATTACAACTGTCTTAGCTACAGGCTTGGGTCTTAAGCTTTTAAATCAGGCTTCAGAAAATAAATCAGTTCAGTGCATGTAGTCCCACCTGCCAAGGTCTTCATTACAGGGAACCCTTCTAGCAAGGCATGGATTTTGTTTGCTCTTTCCATGAGTTATGTGAACAGCAGTGCATGGAATAAAGCCAGAATTTGAAGATATCACAGTAGGTCAGTCTTCTGCCACTCTCATGCTACTTTAGGGCACATTGTGTTGTGTTTCTTAGTGGAAAAAAAGACAGTGTTGCATTAAATCCTCCACTGTCTAACAGCTCATATTCAGCCCTCTAGTGATGAATGGACCTTAAAATTTACCGGAAAACTGAAGAACTCCATGCAGTGTGTGTCTGTTCAATAGCTTACTCAGCCACATGAGACCTGCCTGTTAATACATGGAAATTTGTCTTTTGTGTATGTTGTAGGAGCCCAGTTACCAAGTACAGGAAGGTTAGAGCCCTCTTTGTAGAGCATATGCATGTTTTTCTTTGGATCTGCTGTTCTGAAGCATTCCTTATCTTCTCCCAGGTCAGCCCCGCATCTGCTACTCCATGCCCTGAGCTCAGATTTCCTGCCTCCCTCCCCACTCCTGCTTGACTTCACATTTGAGTCACCCCTTGACTTTCCAGTTCCTTAGCAATTCTTCTTAGCCAGGCCGTGGGCTTGTTGCAAAGAACTGGCTTTTCTAGGAACAGTCTGTCTGTGTTATCTTCAGCACAGTTCCAAATGCACTGCAGGCTTGGCACAAATAATTTGGCTTATGAAGCCATGCTTTTTTTCTCCCAATACATGTAATTATGCTCCTGACTGGCTGGGAATTGCCTGGAGTTCGGTTTCACTTGGCTCTTCTGTGCACCTCTCTTCTACCAGTTAGTGTCTTCAGTTAGGCATCAAACGATCTTTAGCTTCCTCAGGCATTTGGTGCCCCTATGATGCAAATGCAAATCTACAGTTTACCATCACTCTGGACATTTAGACAAGGCTTTTATTGTCAGAGGGATATTTACATGGCATTTTCAACACAAATGAATGGTTGGCTATTGGACAGAGGCATCTCTTGCAGATTATTGTCCATTTCCTGGTAGAGCTGAGAGTACAGTGCCCACTTTTCCCTTGTCCTCAAATGGCAAATTCCTCTCCAGTTCTCACCCTGCATGAACTGCCTGATGGACTTTGATGGAGCAGTACTTTTGCTGATCCCTACTCACTGATGTGTTTGTCAACAAGATTGTAGAAGAACTTCAGGCATGGCACATAGCTCTTCTTGGAGTACTTAATCAAACAAATTCCAATGATTTATAAAAAAATCAGTGTCTAAATCTATCAGGAGAGTTTTATTGGCAGAAAAGGATCTCAGCAATGCCAAATGTGTGGCATGGGAGCACCATTGTGTATTTTGGGTTAGTACAGCAAATGAGCTTTTCACCATAGAATCACAGAATGGTTTGGATTGAAACGGACCTTAAAGATCACGTAGATCCAACCCCCCTGCAAGGGCAGAGACACTTCCCACTAGACCAGGTTGCTCAGAGCCCCCTTTAATGTCTTTGTATCAAATCATCATCTGTATGATTCTCTTTCGTTGATAACCTTTTGGGTTGTTGTTTTTCTGCAGCAGCTATTCAAAGGACTACATCCTTGGAAGCAGTGCAGCTGCAGTGTTGCAGCTTTTGAGCTGTCACTGAAGGCTTACAGGAACAGACTCCCATGCACTTCCCCGTGCCTCCCAGGCCCAAGTTGTACTTGACCTGGAGATAAACATGGTTCAAGCAGACAGCAAATTGGTCTGAGGACTGTAATGATGGCTTAGGACTGAGTAAAGATGTCCAGCATAATGTTAGTAGATACCAGACTGACCAAGTTTCATTTAAAATATTAAATAGTGAGATGGAATGAAGAATGAAAATACATAATTCATATTAATCAGCAGATTTACTTTTGCCAAAAGTATAAAGGTGGTGGAGAGAGAAAGACTGAAGTGAAAAATGTTGATGGCAAGTAACAACAAGCCTTTATGATATAATCCATACGAGGGAGAGTATTTTGATTGTGAAGGACACACTTGGAAGCCAACAATGCAGAGAAAGCCACAGTTTAATTGTAGCACAAAATTAATTCTATCAAGGTATCCTTATTTTGTGCGGGCTTACAATTCCGTGTCTGGTCAGAGGACAGGCTGGGCAGAGCATATCTCTGGCTTTTATACTCCTCTGCAGACATTTTGCAATAATTGATCACCAGATCACAGAATTATGTAGTCTGGAGGTGATCAGATCCAGCGCACCCCACTCATCCCACCCCAAAGCAGGGCCAGCTTTGGTCAGATTGTTCATGACCTTGTTCTTTGAGTTTTGAGTATCTCCAAGTCTTTTCCAATGTTTGACCATCCTCACAGTGCAAAAGGTCTTCCTAGTATCTAAGGTTAATTTCCAGTGTCCCAGCTTGTGTCTGTTACCTTTTGTCCTGTCACAGTTCACCTCCAAGAAGAGTCTTTAGCTTGTCTTCTCTGCACCCTCTGATCTGGACAGCAGCTGTGGACATCAGTAAGGTTTCCCCTTAGCCTTCTTTTCTCCAGGCTGAACAAACCCAGCTCCCTCAGCTTCACATCATACATCATGCTCCAGCCCCCCACCCAATTTTGGCCCTGTCCAGGACTTGCTGCATTTTATCACTGTCTTTCCTGTACTAGGGAGCCCAAGACTGGACACATTACTCCAGATGAAGTCACACAAGTACCAAATGGAGGGGAAATAATCATGTCCCTCAAGTTTTAGGCTGCATTCACATGTAGTACAGCCCAGTGTGGGTATGCTGCTGACCTAGGACATGAAGTCCTTGCAAAGAACCTGGCTGCTTTCCCCTAGCTTGTGCTGTTGCATGCAGTTGCCCCATCCCACGTGCAGGACTTTGCCTCTTGTTTTGTTGAACTTCATGAGATGTCTGTAAGCCCATTTCTACAGCCAAATGCCCTCTGAAGGGCAGCCCTGCTCTCCAGTGTACCAGCTGCCCCCTCTTATTTAGTGTCAGCAGGGAACATGCTGACTTGTGCAATGCACCTCATCACCCTGGTCGTTATTAAAGGTATTAAAACTGTATCATCATCTCCAATATCAACCCCTCAGGAATGCTCTTACTAAGCACCTGCCAGCTGGACTTTGCAGATCAGCAGGAGAAAAGCAACTAGAGGCTATAACCTCAGCACATTGTGCTCAAAGCTTAATTTTGTGTTAAACTAAGTATCTTGGACAGCTAACAGTGAAGTCTTTCCAATTTTACTTGTTTGAACATGAAGTCAGCAGAATTCCCTTCCCCTCCCCTGGAGTCACTGTTATTAACCACCATTAAGAAATCTGGTAGCAAAATGATAGGGAATGTTCCCAGCATCAGTGAGAATGAAACAGTAATCATATGGATGCTCCATCCTGCTGTGTATGCAACAGCTCTCCAAGCAAGAAACAAGATCCCACCATGCTGCTGATGTCCAATGGTATTACCATGCTGGTAATTCACCTAGCTCTCAGTTAACTCCCAGTTGTGATTTTTAGTCTGTAGCTGGTTCTGGCCTAGCTTTCCAGTCACAGCTGTTCAGATGTGACCTTGCACCAGGTTGGCGTTGTACTGTAGATGTCAGCTGAGAGGTTTCTGATGAAGGATGCTTTGCTAAGGGGAGTTCCTAACATGTGAGAATTAAACTGAGAGTAGCAAATGTTTTCTCAATGTTTCCTCACAGCTTGGTTTGCATGAGTTTTATAAACTAAACTGTCATTGCTCAAGATGCTACAATGGGCTCCAAAGTGCCACTGGGCAGCATGCCCTACACATGCCTCTACCCACAGTAGCACTGGTCCCTTCAGCAGTGTCATTTTCCTGTCCACACAGACCTAGAAACCTTTTCTGCTGATAGCACTGCCTGTGTAGCAGCAACACAGCACATGCAGCACAGCATGTTTTGACTTTTTTTTTTGCCCCCCCCTAAGACCTGTTGTTTTGAATGTGGTTACTGTGAAACACAGAATGTTTCAATGTGCAGAAAAGGAGCAATCGGTGGCTTCTTGGACACTTACTGGAGAGAAGTGCATCTGTGAATGAAAATGAGGTGCTCATAGGAGACTTTGTAAGTATGGCCATGACTGCAAATGCAGGCTAGAATTAAAGATTTTTGCTTTTTGCATTATTGAGGTAGTATTTTTCTTATCACCAACTAAGAAAGGGGAGCAGTCCCCACAAGAGACCATTCTACAGTGGTTGTGTTGGGTGCATCCCAGTAAAGCTGCACAAAGGTCAGTTTCTGCCAGTTCAGCCAGGCATCTAAGGAGACATCAGGTATCAGGTAGTGTTTTATTACACAAGATATTTATACAGAGATATACAGAGGTGCCCATCTGTCAGAATGGCAACCTTATTTACCATCGTTTGCCACCATCAACAGCAAGATCACTTCCTCCCAAACTGAGGCAGTGGTGGTGGCACTTTAATGTCTTGACCTCTTTCCAGTTTCTTCTCGCAGTCAACTAGATAATTCACCCCATCAATGACAATCTGGACTAGCTCCACCTACAACAAGAAGAAAAATGGTTGTAACAAAAGCTTTATCTAATGCTTTTAAGAGGAAGGGAAAATTGGCTTGTACTGCAATGACAGAATGTAAAGCTGTAAGTAAGGTGGGTCAAGGCATTGAGATCTTAACACTCTGTGGCATGAGAGCGTGGGTCATGGTAGTCCAGTGGAAGCCCACAGTAATTCCCACCTGTTTGCTCTGATTTTGGGCTGCCAGCAACAGGAATTTTCAAATAGGCCCCTATGTTTCCACAAAATTCTGCTCCTGACTCATATTCCTATAGGAACAAAGCAAACAACTAAAAGTCCTTACATAAAATACTTAGGCCTGAGTTAAGACTGTGACCACCATGAAGATGCAGGACCTTCCCCAGATGTTCACTGGGGAGAAACATCTGGCACAGATAGGTGTGCTAGCCTGTTGTGCTCCCCACACTCATGAAGGAGGATGAAGAAACCGGCAGTGCTGTGAGTTCTCAGCATCACCAGGCAGTGCTTGCTGAGGCAGCAAATGCTTTGTCTTTCCAGCTCACATGCCTGTACTGCCCCGGTGCTTGCAGCAGCATCTGTGTGAGCACAGAGTCAGATGGAAACTGACTGGGGAAATGGTGCAAGGAAAGGAAGACAGAGGCTCATTGCCCTGATTCATACAAGCCCCTAGTACTGTTGGGACAGGGAGGATGACAGGACTACCTGTTTGATCACAGCCATTTAGACTGCGTGAGAAAGCTGGTCAAACCAGAGTCTTAAGCCTTCTTCAGAGGCACGGCTCAGAAACAAATATTCCCCTGCAGATGACCATGAACTCTGCTGCAGGCATCCCTTAGCTGTGGGGAAAGATGTCCTACTCTGCTGAGCGTGCTGGCTCCGATGAGGTGGTTTTGCCAAGCCAGGAACCCACATCTTTGGAGCAGAGACCTTTGCCCTAAACTCATGATGGCTGGACATTATCCATCACTCCTTTGTTTTCAGCTCTTGATATACACTACCAGGGATGGGATTAACTCCAGACCCAGAGCAGCACCAGAATTTGCAGTTCTACATGGCAGGGGGTAGTGGTGGCTTTATAGCCTTTTACAGTTGCTGAAGAATGCAAGGTGCTTTATCCCCAGCAGACTTTCTCCACAGGAGGTAACATGTGAGGACCACAGGCCCTGTGGTATTGTTAGCCCGCAAGCTATGGCACTGATTTTTCTTAATCTTCCTGAAATGGTTCATTAGCAACCTTTAATGACTGGCCTGATACAACTGAATGTGAAGACTAAATCCCATTGTCTCTTTAGTGTGACAGTTGCTGATTTTCAAGGGATTTGTTTTTACTGTAAAGCATTTCAGTGGTTTAGCAGTTTATTTTGTTGTCTTTTACAGACCAGCTGTTTTGGGAAATCAGAGGTCTGAATTTACAGCCTCCAGGAGAAAAGGAATTTCATATTAAGTTTGCATTGACCAGTAACTGAAACAAAGCAAAAATACAAGCAATTTTATCTTGCACCTTTGGGAACATAATTCAGTTCTATAAACACATTTACCACATAATGGAATTTATTTTATTGTGTACTGAAAAAAAAAAAAAAAAGTTATAGTAAAACATTTCTATCCCCTTGAACTTGTCTTGTCTTATTTAGATTTCAAAATCTTCAAGGTGGGGATTGTATCTTATCAGTTGGCTTAATCTTATGAATCCTTGCTGTACAAGGAGCCACTGACTTCAGCAAAATTTTAAGCAAAAATTTGCAGGCTTAGGCCATCTGTCAGTAGAACACATGCCATGTAATCCTTTTGTGTAATTAGTGTTATTTTAGTATAAAGCGCACATGATAATGCTTCAGGTATTAATACAAGTCACACATTGTTAATGCAAATAATACAGATTAATAGCTTTTCATTCCTGTTTGTTTTGCTTTAGATCCAAAGGAACATAGCTGCCTACATCTAACTCCAAAATTTAATATTTCCAGACCCCTGCCCAAATGCCACCTGGCTGAAGACTGTCAAGGGCATGTCTGGATAGGAAAGCAGAGAAGAGCTGACCTGTCTATGTCTCAGGGGCAGAACACCCAAGGTGAGTGAGGAAGCCAGCTGACTGGCTGTCAGACAGTTTGCATCTAATTGTAACCCAGGGTGCTGTTTGTGTTATGAAAACCTACAAAGAATCAGGCTGAACTTGGGTGTTGTGCTCCAACAGCAGGACCAAACTGCACCCCTGTCTAAAGTGCCCAAGCCTCCTGGGGCTGTTTGGGATAAAAACACCTGGACAGTATGATTTTTTGACATCAAGTTTTAACTTGATAAAGCCTCCAAGGTGATAAAATGTTGCTGTTGGGTAAGCAGACATCCCTTCAAATCCTGACATGTGCAAGTAGGTTGGCATCTGAGCCCAAATCATGTATTGGATTGCTGGCGAAGCAAAAGGGACCTCAGGAGATCAATCCCACCAGGGTCTGCCTGGTTGACCATAGCTGAGAGGTTACAGCATGCACCAGGGGAGTGAAAGATGCAACCTCTGTTCCCCATCTGCTAGCAGAGTGCTCAAATCACTGGACTTACAGGGTCTTGCAGGGTAAATTTTAGTCTCAGTTGTTCTTGACATGGCCAAGGCTGAACACAGCCTTGGTCTTGATGAGGAAAGGGTAGCAGTGGTGGTGCCACAGGACTTGCAGCCTGGGACCTGGAGTAAGGGTTTAGCTCAGCCAGAGCTAGTGGGGAGAAGGCTGCAACTCTTTGACACAGCTGTTTCTACCCCATCCTCCAGTAGATTTGCTCTTAGGAGCTGTTCTGCTTTGTAAAATAGTTAAATATGGAACTGGAATGAGGTCTGGGACCCAAGCCTCCCAGGAAAGCAACAATACCACCAGGCTGTAGGGTCATTTCCAAACTCTGGCACAACAAATACTCATTCAAACTGAAATAGCTTCAAAACAAATGTCTGAGATGAACCCATCTCATCGTAGCCTAAAGCCCAACTGGGAGAGCTCAGAGCTGACAATTTTTTTTTCCCTGATTTAAGCCTAGTTCTCCTGTATCCTTTGCTCAGTGCCACACAGGACATGTGAAGATGGC